TCTTCTTTTTGGTTGTTTATATGGATCCAGTTATTGAGTTAGTATTGGTTTGTGTTCTGGGATTGTTTGTTTTGTTATTTTATGCTAATTAATAATCTATAAGTAGCGCAGAAAGATGCTAACGTTAACTGTGGGTTGTTGCAGGTGATTGTTTGTCAACAGTGTGGTGACAGAGGCTTTGAAGATGCCTTAATCTACTGTGAACAGTGCCAGAATTATGCTATTCATCTGTATAACTTGTTTCCTTTTTCTTTTGTTTGTCTTTTTTTTTTCCCATGAGAAAGAAGTGACACATTACCGTTATTTATATACCACATTATCCTGAAATAAATGCTTCATTTCCTGGTTATTGAACTTTGGAAAGCACAGATGCATGCATGACTGTAATGATGCTGCAAGTTGACATTGAATTAGTTCTTGAAATCATATTTAAAAGTACAAATTCTATGAGATCTTAGCTGCCTGAATCCTCAATTTTAACTTTTTAAAATGATTTTGCATGGATTGGTGATCAACTGATGCCTCTTCTCTTTTATTTCTTTGCAGTTATTGCCTTGATGTGCCTGCAGAAAATATTTTTGATGAAGATATTACTTGGCTTTGTGTGGATTGTGAACCAAAGATTATAAAGCCTTCTACAATTGATAAATCAGTAAGATCAACAAAAAATTGTCATAACAAGAAGTTGAAGAAAAGGAGGAGGAAAAAGAATAGATTGACTTTTCCTAAATCTGTGGCTAAAAAGGCGCAGATATGTGAAGGGGATAAAATGGTTTTACAGATACGTGAAGGTAGCCCTTGTGAACATGAGGCTGAGGGCAGTAATAATTGTGACAGTGGTCAGAATGTTGGTAATCCGTGCAGAGAAGTTCTTGAATATCAGTTCAATTCCTTCCATGACGTTCTCGAGTTTGTAAAAACCTCTCAAATTATTACTAGTGACGCTTTACAAATCATAGAACACAATTCTTATGTTGCCGCACAGCCTATCATTGATCCAATCTGGAGGTAAAAGAAATTTCCTTTCCGCCTCTTTCAAATTTATGGTGGGCAGGGTATAATTCGTGAGCTAGTTTGTCTTATTGACAGGGGAAGTCTAAGCATATTCAACAAAGACTTCAACATTGTTAGTGGACTTGTAGCCCATCTCTCTAGCTTAGCCTGTCCTAAAGTGCGCGAGGAGGCAGAACTGTTGCCGTTGCTGATTTTTCCAGAATTGGTTCGTAGGACTGATGTGTGGCCAAAAGCTTTTGAGAAGTTGGGGCCTAGTGACCGGAGCATCGCTCTTTACTTTTTTCCCGACAACGAAAGGTGATACATTTAACTGTCTTACTTTTGTCCATCTAGTTCTGCTGTTTGGATTTCTTAACATTCGCTGTTTTTCTTAGTTATTATTTTTTTCTTTGGGTGCAGAGATGAGAAAGATTTTGACAGTCTCGTGGCTAGCATGATCCAGGATGATCTCGCTATGAAAGCCATTCTGGACAATGCTGAGCTTTTAGTTTTCACTTCGACTATACTGCCCGAGCAATATCAGAGTGAGTCTTGAAATCGCTATTTGTTTAAAGCTTTTCCAGTTTTTTTTCTCCTTTCAGGTTAATAGCAGTGTTGACTATATTGATTTGCAGGGTTTCAGACAAAGATTTATTTATGGGGAGTATTTAGGGCAAAGAAATTTCCAGAATTAACAAATGGTAATGCTCCCGGTGGGGAGAAAGACGTTGCATTGCCCTTAACCTTAACCTGTTATGGACAGAGTCCAGTTAGTACGTTGAGCAACAATGTAGATATTAGTTGTGATCCTGAACCACTGAATTCCTATTGTTCTTAATCCATGTGAATTGAATTTTATTTTATTTTATTTTCAATCAAACCCTGTACAGTATGATGTTAAGTGTAGTTTTGTTTTGATAATTGTAGGTTTTTTTACCAGTAGATGCTGGGATTTGTCTTTGCGTGGGCAGTTTCAGTTCCGATAAATGAGAATTAATTTCTTTTACCCCAAAAAAGAAAAGAAAAAAGAATGTAGTATTTCCAAGATGAATTGGAGGAATTTGGCATAGCACATAGGAGGGGCTTTAGAAATAGTAAAGCCATCAAATCATTTTTTTCTACGACTTTGTGGTTGAGGAACTAATGATACTAATGCAAATGGAAAGATAAGTCAATCCCATGTTTTGGTCCTTTTTCAGCATGTATATGACTAAATATCTCATATTATTATTTCAAATTAGTATGAGAAACGTGCCAAAATTTACTGGTTTCATTTTCATACGCAACTTGGCAACTTGGCGAAGACCTTAACGATCAAGAGTGCTGTGTGATATGTCATAGCACACTGAGCCAAAATAAAAATTTGATGAAAGTTTGCCGACTTTTCAACATTTGTTACTTATCCTAACGTTGCTTCTTGATCGTATTCCAGTTAAATTTCTTCCTTTAAGCCTAGGTAAAAACAAAGAGAAATTAATATAAAGAAAGTTTTATGGAATGGTGATACCACGTTATCACGTTGATGTGATATGACTATCTATAATCTTAAAGAACTCCGTAAAAAGGACTTCTAGTTCAAATTGTTAATATATATGTTACGTATCCTAAGATTGCTTTTTGATTAAAAAGGAAGAAAGAATATTATAAAGAGATTTTTATGGGACGATCATACCACGATATCATGCTGCTGATATGATATGAGTATCTACTTAAAGAATGAATTTTATCACAAAAAGAGCTTCTAGCTCAAGTGATTAATAGCAGTTACTAATGAACTCGAGATAGTACTTATGCGTTCAAAAACCTCGTTCCTAGGTTAGCTAAGTATGCTCTCTCTTTTTTGGGTTGTATTGATTAAGGTGAGCTTGCCGGATCAAGATTCATGCCGTCCTCTCTTTGTACCACTGAGGTTCTCTAAATTATTATAATTAAGGGCATTTTAATGTACTAGATTCTATTAGTTTCATTATTTCCTGTAAATAAGTACATATCACATTAACAATTAGTAGATTGCTTCTAACCTATCGTGAGACAAATAATTATCCTTTCTTTAATTATAATTATATAACTTACAATTTACACGTATCTTTATTATATCCGTGTATTAGGTTAAGAAAAGCTAATGTGCAACCTAGAATTGTATTGATCCAGCCTGTGGAGGCTGCCAACCTAAATCCAACTTTATCTTTCCAATTACTACTTTTTTAGTCTGTTTGATAGTTTTGTGGACTAATCCTTCCTTAATTAATTGCTGTTAACCACTCCGATTATAGCAAAGCATATGATTTAATGATTATTATATTGAATTTTTTTTGACTTTGAGACACCAAATATGGATATGTCACCTCAAGCACCAGATTTTAACAGCAATAATTAACCCTTGTCTTCTAGAAGGATATATAAGCGGGCAAGTTCCATAGTCAACTAGCAAGCTCCCGATAGGAAAGTTCTTTTATCGCATCGTTCAAGTTAAAAATAAATTATCTGTAAATTAAGGAAAGTCTTACTTTCACACTGATACAATATTGGAGTTGGAGAGAGAGAGTCGTGGACCCGTGGAGTTTACAAATTTGTGCAGGAGTTTGGAAGACTTGGTGTGAGAGTGAAGGTTCAACTTATAAGCTCGACTGCCAATTTAACTATTTATGCTTGATCGTGGTAGATTTATGAAAACATATATCAAGATTCCGAACCTCTATATTTAGATATTATACATTTATATATTATGAATGGCCATATGCATAAAATTCTGCATATATTTTAATTTTAATCACCTTTTTACCACTTATATTTGGATAACTTGGGCATAGGCGGCTGCATGTATTTTCCGTGCATGCAATTTTTGTCTGAAAATCTATACAATGTTTTTTCTGTCTCACCTTAAAATAATAAAAAATGTTAGTTTCGTAATGAATAACTTTAGTTTCTGCAAGCCCGGGAGTTAGTGTGTGTATATATATATATATATATATATATATATTATATTATATTAAAGAAGAAAGGAATTGAACAAAAAAGGAAAAACAGCCCAAGGTTTGCTAAGCTTGGTGAGGAAAGTAAAAGTTATCAAGCTGTTGTTTTGTGTTTCAACAATTACTTATTTTCTTTCGTCTGCTGCTAGGACTTTTAACGTTCACATTCATGTATTCTGATGTTTATGTCAATCAATGGTAGTCCACCCCTCCACAAAATCCTGGTTCAATCCTATATTTGTTGAGAGTATATCTGACATTGAATATGGAAGTATAGTGTAATAAGCTTAAAATTTTTTAGGCTTCTATACTCATTGTCAATTGATTTTCGTATAAGTAGAATTAACTTAGTGTATACGCATAAATGAATTTACGAAAAGAGCTATTGACAGTACACATAGTTCTTTTAATTTCGTAGTTACTTCTTTTTCCAAGATATTCAAATAACTCATATATGTTATGCTATATTTTCCATATAAGTAAAAATCCCATGTCATGCTGTGAACTCATTTATCAAATACTAAGAGAAAAGAGAGTTTTTCATAACTTCATACTATTTCTAGGATGATATGTTTCAACAACTATGCATGTGTGCATTCATATATATATATATATAGGAAGCTTCAAAATTAGGATGTTTACATTTGAGAGAAAGATAGTATTATATTGAAGAGAGAATGAGTAATTAGTACAAAAATCAGGCTATGTTGTCGGGATTAGAAGAATGTCTCTATATAAATGGACTCGATCGTCAATCCATCTGGGTAGCATTACCTGCTCAACCACAAACGGGAGCGGAAACCTAATTGGTTACATTTATGAAAAATGTGAACATCCTAACTATTCCCCCCAAATTAGATTATTATTGTTGTCATTTTATTTTTATCTAAGAAATTGTGTTTCTCTAGTTTAGATGATAAAATAAATTTCAATTTCATTGATTTTTATATATATGAAAATAATCATTGAATAAGAACCTTAATGTGGATGGTTATGTTCATTTTAGCAGAGAATAGTTTGAAATGCAAGGGATTCGAACAGTAGTATAAATTAGTGCAAAGCACGTATAAAACAAACTGAAAAGAGCAATGAGAAAGGTCAACTACATGTGCTGGAAATTACATGCCAAAGGTACATGACAAAAGATGGCATCGAAAACAAAAGCATGGGTATCATATATATGATATTTGAGAGCCAGCCACTCTCCATCCTTCGGCCCACAATATTAAACTAACAATTAATCTAAGAACTTTCCCACCTGCCTCCCCACCAAAACAAATTCAAAATTCCACTTTAGTCCCTTTTGTATTATCTTCTTCACCAATGACTAAAACTCTATTTCTCTGAAGAAAAAAAAAAAAACCAGGAACCAAAAGCAATCTATATCTTAAGTAATTCCCCTGAAATTCCCATTCTTTCTATGAAGGAAAAGAATCTGAAAATAGAAAAACTGAAGAAGAAAAGAAAAACTATAAATCGGGGAAATTGTTGAATAAGTCTATGGATGGAGTGCTAGGGGAAAAGAAGTTTGAAGGACTAGGCATGAAGCTACCTTCTATGAAGTTCCTGTTTCCATGGAGCACCGGGCTCAAATCATGGAAGAAGCTATCCGACGGTGGAGAGAAGAAGTTTGAAGGAATTGGATTGAGCGAAGCAGGCCCCGGTGACAAGATCCCCGGAAACAAACCCTTCTGCCTAACACCACCATCATCACCGTCCATCTCCATCCCTTGCGACACATCCTGAGCAGAACTTGTCTTCATCACTTGATCATCACGAGAATTATTGTTATTGTTATTGTCATAATTGGGAGGATTATTAGGATTATTTTGAGTAGGTGGGGAAGAAGATGAAGAAGAGTTTAAGCCCGTGAGGCGTTGGACAAGGTCCATGAAGTCACTAGGGTTTGTGTGGATGACCTTCGGGGACACGGTGTAGATTATGACCGGCTGACGTGGCTGCTGGTAGAGATGAGGCTGGTGGGAGGGTGGTTGTGAGGAGGGTTGGGGAACAATTGGAGGCTTCTTGATCTTGTGAGAGTCTTTATGAACCCTGAGAGGTGTAGGACGTGGGCCTTGAAGCTGAAGCTCTCTTCTCGGAGATTTGCCCGCCGAATAATCCATGCCGGTGAAGGCGAAGGCGAAGACGAAGATGGATCGAAAAAGAAGAACAAGGGTTGATCTGTTTTGGGGTTTTGGTGATGAAGTTGTGGGGAGATTAATTTATGTATCATGTTATATTAATATTGGAAACTCAAAGGGCAGGAGGACATAAGAGCTAGATGTGGTGACATGAAATATTTAAAGGAGAGAGAGAGAGAGAAGAAGAGAGAGAAGGAGAGCAAGTCAATGAAATGAAGGGGGATGAATTAAATAAAATAATCCAACAATAATGAAATTAGTAAAAATTGGCTACTGGCTATGAGGTTAGCTTGTGGAAGTGATATTTTAGTATGACGGGAGGGATACAGAGGCCGGTTTCGTGGTGGGATGGTGTTTGAATTGAAATTGTCGTAATGTGGGACTTGGAAGGGGTCGTTTGTGTGCCTCGTCACTCTGAGAGGTAATGACGTACTATATACCCTTGTAACATAAGCTTTACTATACATTTCTTTTTGTTTTTGTTTTTGTTTTTGTTTTGAGAGAGAGAGAGCTTAGGTATTTAATGGTATTAGATCAGTAACACTACTTATACTGTGTTTGTGGTTAAGAACATTAAACTTTCACCAGAAGTTGTTGGTTCGGTCTCCTTTCTTTCATATCAAAAGGAACAAAATTTATTATCATGAGACACATGTGACATTACATGAAACAATTACTGTGATATATGTGAATCGTGATAAGTTGTGTGAAAGAAAATACATAATTTAGTTATATATATATATATATATATATATATATATAACAAAGCATATAAATTATATCGTGCATTCGTTAAATGATTCAAATCAATAACTTATCAATCGTAATTAATATGTAATTAAAAATAATAAACATGCTAGTCATATTATATTCATATACCTTTTTGTGTACCACCTTTTTAATAGAGGTGTATCTCTTTGTATTGGTAGGCTCCACCTCCATTTAAAAAGAAAAAAAATACACAAATGTAATATGCGTAACATTACGCTAAAAAGAATCATTTTGCGGTGTGTCTCATAAGACTGCCGCCCCAAATTTTAAGGATGTTGTGAGAAATTGTGGATTACGGGGAGCGAGTGTGACTCAAGTAGTTGCAAGTGCTCATGTATAAAGCACACACTTCTAGTATGTGTGGCCCCAAACATATTGATCCTATATTTGTCTTGCATTAGGAGAAGACACTTTGTGTTTCACATTGTAATTCATCTTAGAGCATTTTCACCCAGCAGCCTAGTCGAGGTAAAAGGCTCTCTAGGCCTCAAAAATCATTTTCAGTGCAGCAATCCAGCCCAAGCAGATGGTGGGCTCCACCAAGCCTGGGCAGACCCAAAGGCAACAATAGCCTGAACTGTTGCTCTAGGGCAATGACATCATCAATGTAAATTTTATTTTAAAAAATCCAAAAAATTTAGATTTATTTTTATACATATGTATCAATTTTTATTATTATTAATCTCATACATATAAATAAAATTAATCCATATGAATAGTAATTGTCTTTAGGTTGCCATTAGCAATGGGTGGAAAAACAAAACAAAAAAAGGCAAGGGCAATCACTATTCATGTGAATAGTATTTCCCCTAACTTGCCCTTACCCTTTGTCATGGCATCATGGGTGGAAGTGCACTTATGTTTGTTCATTTTTTTCATGTTATGTTTTAGTGCGATGTTTAATTACTTAAAAACGGATTTTGAAATTAATCTGATTTCAGACTTTCCAGCATTTACGGCTAACACATAAAGGATTAAAACAAAAGGTGAGTTCTATCTTAAAATCTATAATTCGTAGTTGAAAAATAAGAAATTAGATTGATTTGAGAGGAGTATCTGTGGGAGCAGATATTTTCGTCTCCAATCACAGCACGCCACGTGGAAAAGAAGATTATCTCTTTTAATTAATTAATTGAACCAGTTTATCTGGCCAATTAATTAATTAGGATAAATATCTTAATTAAATGATATTATCTTTATGTAATACGATAATATCATTAATTAAGATATTATCCTAATAAAGAGAAGATAATGTCATTATCTCAGATATTATCTCCATAAAAAGAGATAATATCATTTAATTAAGATATTATCTCCATAAAAAGAGATAATATCATTAAATCAGATATTATCTCAGTCCGACTCGATCCCTACGAATTTGGGTAGAGAATAAACTCAGCATATTCTCTACGAAACCCTAGACCCGAGGCTCTTATAAATAGATGACTTCATTCATCATTCAAGGTACATCTAAACATACTCCTTATACCCGAGAAAAATACCCGAAGCTCGTTCTCCCTCTCCACTCTCCTTATTTTCTCCACACGGCTCCGGCCGCCCGGTTCACACCCTACATAAACACTACTCCGTACCCTTTGCTTAGCTATTGTTTTCCTACAAACACTCGAACTAACTTAGGTATCGGAGGGTCTTTGGCCAACAACCCCCGGGTGTGGTCTATTTACTCCAATCTGTTTTACAGGAATCGAGGAAGAGAGAGAAGGAAGATCGAAGGTTGAAGGATCTAGAAGCGAATATTCTCCCGTGAGATTATTTGCACAAACATTTGGTGCTTTCTTTGAGAGCACGAGTTATACTCAACGCGTGCTCAAGGAATCCGTTCCTCCTATTTTCCAATCCACCGAAGCCTTCCAAACAACCATGGTTGGAAGCAAACACACTAGGAGCAAAACCACCGCGGCTCGATCCGAGATGGCCCAAAGCCATTCCACCCACGATCCCGCAATCGACATGGTGACACCACCACCTCTCGCCACCGTGCCACCTACCGGACCCGCAACCGGATCTAGCAACCTTTGTGGCACTGTCGTCGAACATGGTGGACCCTCCCATCAAGGTGGGCTCGTTACCACCACCGATTTAGGCCTGGTCTTGGAGCAACTTCAAGCGTTCCCTCCATTGCC